GGGCCTCTAGACTGGATTGGGCCTTGATGGCCGGTTTTCCCATTTGGCATGGGTGGACACGTGGCGTGCCTCGATTGGTCCGTAGAGGACGTATCTGTGACTGACACGTGGCAGGCTCCTATTGGCCTTCGTGAAGGACACGTGGCGGAACCTGGTTGGTCCACTTGTCAGACGGTGATTGGTGGATAAAAATCCCCTAATCAAGTTGAATATTTATGTTTTATAATTTGTATATTCAATATTTATATTTATATATTTACTTTATACTATTACTTTAAAATTTAATGTTTATGATTTATTAGTAATTGGTATAATTTTATTTTTTTTTAATATGAATTTACAAATTGTAACAAAACGGGGAAAAAAGGCAAATTGGACTTTGGATGTGAATAATGCGTACTTTATATTATTATTACTTGAGTTGAGAAAATTGTACAATGATAACAATGATAAAAATCATACAATGATGGTATTAAACAAAAATTGGAAAATGATAAAATTGATATTTTTAAAATCGTACAATATACAATAATTGTCTATTCTTCTTCTCCTTCTTCTTGCTCGTCTTCGTCTTCGTCTTCGTCTTCGTCTTCGTCTTCGTCTTCGCCTTCGCCTTCAAGGTCATCGGCTAGTTGCATAGATTGGGAACTAGCCGAACCCGAACCGGAAGTGGAGGTTCCTTCTTCGTTGTCGTTGTGGTCGTAAGAACGGTCTTGTGAGCGATTTTCCGCATCCAACCAATCTTTGAAACACACGCACATTTCTAGTGTTTCGGGTTTTAGACTTGTTCTTCTATCGTCTAAAACCCTTCCGGATGCGCTGAAAGCTCGTTCGGAGGCGACGGAGGAAACTTGGATAGCAAGAATGTCTCGTGCCATTGCCGCCAAAGTTGGATGCTTCGAGCTTTGTTGTTTCCACCATGCAAGGAGGTCGAGGCTGTTTATCTCATCGTCGTCCATGCCTTTGGTGAAGTCGTAACTCAGGTACATCTGCAACTCCGAGACGTCGCTTTGCGTTCTCCTGATTGATAAATCACCTGAAAACCTTGAAATCAAGTTAGTAGCTTGTGAAAATAAATGTTTGGCCTTCTTACTTACGTTTTTGGATGGTTGGGAAGGCCCTGAGCGAGGAACGGTGCCATATTTGGCTTCATAGACTCTATATAAAGCAAAAAACTGATCCTTCACATTAGTCTTATAGTTTTCTACATCATCGTCAAGAAACATGCATTGAAAGTAAATGTCAACTAACATAAATGTGTTTTCATACTTTTGCCTAGGATCTAATATGGAAGCAAAAATATAAATCAAAGGAATCTGACTATAATATTTACGCCACTTTTTTTCCATTGCTGGAAGATACTGATCATAATCACTTTGATCGCGATGATCAGCGAAAAGTTGGGCGAGTAAGCATGCATTAGAAAGAAAGTTTTGAGCACAAGGATTGTAAACAGTAGAAAAACAATACGTCATGTTATATAATAACTGTAAAAATTGCATATATCTTTCACAGTTATTCCAATCATCATCATACAAAGCATTTTGTGGAAATTTTTGGTTGTAAAATAATGTTAACGGGCCCTTGTACTCAATTGCCTTTGTTAACATGTCATAGGTGGAATTCCACCTAGTTGGGCAATCGGTTCTTATTTTTATTACCCTTATCTTTTGTTGTTTTAGAAAACTCTTCCATTCTTGGTATCTCATGTTAGAGCTATTAATAGACATAATAGCATCTCTGATTTTGCTGTAGTATGGGCCAATTGCCCGAACTCCATCCTGTACACATAAGTTAAGTACATGGCAAACACATCTAGTATGAAGAGCTTCACCGTCTAATAGTACATCGGTTAAGTTTTGTTTGATAAGATTAGCTGTGTATGTCATAGAGGTTGCATTATCAAAAGTCATAGACATCATTTTATCTCGAAGGTTGTATTCGTCTATTGCTTGCATTAAATGGTGAGCAATGTTAATGCCGGTGTGTGGGTATTCCAGCATTTTGAAATGTATTATTCTTTTTTGTAACATCCATTGATCATCTACCCAATGGCAAGTCACACATAAATAGTGATATTTATAACCACTATCCCAAGAATCGGCTGTTAAAGATACTCTACAGTTAAGGTTACTCAATTCGGCTTGTAACCGGACTTTGTACTCTAGGAAATTTTTCATTGCGGCGGAACGAACGGTTTTCCTAGAGATTCTTTTATGTTGGGGTTGTAGTGCTTTGTTAATGTAGGTGTTGAATGCGTCACTTTCCGAGAAAAGAAAAGGTTGTTCGGCGTGTACTATCATTTTTCCTAGTTCATCCCTATCCCTCTCATAGTTGTATGTAAAGCCGTATGGATGGAATTGGGAAATTTTGGGCTGGGTTGGATCACTAGCTGGTTTTGCACAAGCTTTCATGTGTCTAGATAAGTGTCCCGTCCCGTTTTTGGTAACTGCCGTGAATACACTATTACATGTTTTACATTTTGCCCATTGTTCACCATCTTTACTTAGGACAAAATAACGCCATACCTCACTCCTTCGGTTTTTCAAAAGTAGCATCTCAGTTTCGGTTAACCATTCATGATGTGTGTATTGGTTAGTAGGGGGACTAGTGGGAGTGGCAGTAGAAGGGGTAGAACCGGAGGGAATTCGGGTACTTTCTTGGCTACCTTGGCTAGAACAATAGTTTTGTTGATTACCGATATAATTAGGTGGAAATTGGTATGGTGGTAGTGGAAATTGGTTTAGTGGTGGTGCTGGAAATCCCGACGTATTATATGGCTCATAGCCCGGGGGGAAGTAAATGGGGTCATTGGTTTGACTCGTAATTTGGGGGCTCGTTGTATTTGGTGGTTCCCTAGAACTACTACTACGGATAAGTCGGCCTTTCCCCCTAGACCTAGATGATGGGTTGTTCGATGCCATAATTAACAATTAATTTTTTAATAAAAAGTGGTTAACTATAATAATAATAATTAATAACAACAATTTTAACAATAAAAATATCAATAATAATAATTAATAACAACAACTATAACAATAACAATAACAACAAAAATAAATAATAACAACAATTGTAACAATAATAATAATTAATAACAACAATTATAACAACAACAATAACAATTAACAACAATAATAATTAAACAAGATTATTCTAATAATAACAATAAAACAATAATAAATTTAAGATTAGTTTAGATCTTACAACCGTGCTTCAACGCTCCACTAATTACGATTACGAACTTTTTAATTTTTTCCGATATTAGGAAAATAATTAGAGAATTTAAGAGAATAATTAGAGAATTTAAGAAAATAAGGATTATTAGAGATTTAGAGAATATAAGAGATAAGAAGAAGAGATTGTGATTTTGTGATTTGGGAATGAAATGGAGGTGAGTATTTATAGAATTTTTGGCAAAAAACTAGCCGTTTATAGCCGTTTAACTAGCCGTTGGCCCGCGGGCCGTGCCTGCGGGCCAGCACGGCGGGCCTTGCCCGTGCTCGTGCCGGGCCGTGCCTGGGAATTCTCCACCGTGTCCGTGGCACGGCCCGTGGCACGGAAGTCGAACTTCGTGCCGTGCCGTGCTTGACTTCGGGCCGTGCCGGGCTGCTCCGAACGGCGGGCCGTGCCGGGCGGCACGCGGGCCAACCCGGCCCGTGCCCAGGTTTAATCGTAACTTTAATTTGCTTACGAATGTTTTTATTTGATTAAATTATTATGTATTTATTAGATCTTAATCTCTTTGTAGATGTCGTATGTCTTTTATTTATGAACAATTATATATCACAAAAAGAAAAGATAGTGTACAACAAACATAGCATTCGAACATAGCATTCGATACACATGAATATATCTAAATGTTTTATTTAATAAATATAAGTTTAATCTGAAACAATTTAGTGCTCCGTAATAGAAATGAGCATAGTTTCAAAATTACATTACAATGATAATACAAGTACCTATATATATAAATTAAGCTAGACCGGAGACTATACTATTATATGAAATAATTAGAATGGGGTTGTTAAAACATGGATTAACAATAACCTAATATTACTCTAACAATATTGTTAATCAATTTTATGGGATTATTAAAATAATATTGGATCAAGGAATTCTATTATTAATTAAAGTTAAATTACTCTTTAACTCTTTCTTAGACTAAGGGCTTGTTCACATTTACTGAACTGAACTGAACTAAACTGAGCTGATTGGAGTTGAATTGAACTAAACTGAACTGAACTGATTGGATCTGAACTAAACTAAACTAATTTGAGTTGAAATGAATATTTTTTTGAGAATGAAGGAAATTTGAAGCTGAACTGAACTAAACGGATCAGATCTGAACTGAACTGAACTAAACTGATTGGAGCTGAAATGAACTAAAATGAAATTAAGCTGAAATGATAATCACACAATTTTATTTTTTTAAACTTGATTATTAAATAATGTAAGAAAACATAATTATACTTCAATTCTAAATATTCTAATATATATGGTTCTTGTTGGTCTCAACTATCAAGATAAAATGATATCAAACAAACGTTTCTAATGTAATTAACATGGTCTTACATCAATTACTTGTAACCCACAATAACTAGATCTAAAATTGACCCAAACACTCGTGTTGTCCACTCTAGTTACATGATAATGTAATAGTAAGTATTTATATACTCCGTAGTACATACTTTTATATTTCGAGAATACTTATTGTGGGGTTATTTATTCAAGGGATATCTGGTCAGTTAGGGGTTAGTTATTCATGGGTTACTTGGTTGGTTATAAGTAACTTATAATAGTAACCTTTGACCGACCAAGTAACTCTTTAAATAAGTAACCCCTGAATAAGTAATTTCTTTTTTTTATTTTATTTTTTTTATTAATAAGCACCTTTATAATATATATATATATATATATATATATATATATATATATATATATATATATATATATATATATATATATATATATATATATATATATACCACCTTCGATTTTTAATTAGTTGTAACTTTGAGGCATTATAATCGAAGCTAGTATAATTAATGAGTTATTACATTATGAATAATCATACATGTGTAATAAAAAAATAGAATTAAGCACTTAAAATTAAATTAAAAATAAAACAAACACATATCAACAAAACACAAAAAAGATTAAAAAGGACATAAGCTCATTATGTTATACACTTATACTGATACTTATATAAAGTATCACTTAATCTTAATTAACAAATAATGTAATTTGACTGTATTAAAAAAAAAAAAAAAAAGGTAGTTCACAGATTAGGTAGCTAATTACCCCAAACAAAAACAACTCACAAACACTAATCCCCCTCACAAATCCCAAAAAATTGATTAGGCGCCACTTTCTTTTTTAATTAGCCGCCTCTTATTAAATAATTTACCAAAACCACAAAATTCTCTTCAAAAATCAGAAACCTTCGCACTAATTTTTTTTTTCAGAAACCTTGTTTGCTTAAGAATCAAAACCGTTCTTTCGAAAGACCCTAATTCGAAGATTCGTCTAACGCTCAGAAGATCAATTCTTGGACAAAATTTCAAGGTTAGATCTATTAACTGTTCGTTTTTCTCATATGTTGTGTTTTAATGTGTGAATCAATGTCGATTTTAATTTAATTTTTCTAATACATATGTGGAAGAAATTGAATTACGTTGGATTCTAGTTGCTATGGTTGAACAGATTTGTTCTCGAATTTTTCTTTTATTTTTACAATTTCTGCTACAATTTGGTGTGGCTTAAGATTTTTGATCTTTAATTTTCATAATTTCGTATGGCAATTTTCATGATTTCATTTAATTTATTCTTTTTTTTTTGTGTGAAAAGTAATTACTTTGTATCTTTGATTATATTTTTTTTGTATAATCTGTTTTTTCTGATAATTTGTGTGCATGTGCTACTTAAATTAGTCTAATTTATGATATTAGTAAAATTAAATTAGCTAATATATGATATATTTGGTACTTGAGTTCAAATGCATTGCAACTATGCTATAGATCTTGACCAACATCTTGAGTTGATGAACTCAATCCTCCAATATACTTCGGACTTACAGTCCATAATGACAATATCTGAGGGGAAAAGAAAAAATCAAATTTCATAATCACATCATGTTAAAATCTGAAGCTGATGTTTCCAATAACGTCTTTATGTCGCTAGATATTTCATATTACCTCATTGTATGCCATATCATGTAGCTGGAAAAAACAATAAACTATGATAGTTGACATTAAAGGCCAATTTTTGTAGAAGGCTGAACCATGAATTTGAAGCTCCCTCTTTGGAATTTTGCAATTTTTCAGTGTCAGCAATATAAAAGTATGAGTGGTCAGAATAGGTAGTTTTCTTAAATAATGATAACCCTTCTTAACAAACACAGCCTTAAAGAAGTAAGACACAAAATATTATTAATTTTTTTTTTATTATTATTATTATCTCTTTTCAATTAACTAGCTCTCTTTGCATTCATAGCTTTTATTGTCACATGGATACTCTTGAGGTTCAAAAGAGGTTAGAGTGGATGAGGTGTGCTAATAGGACAGACAATCTATATATAAATGGAGTTAATTCCTTTCTTCAATTTGCTTTTGGTGACTTAGAAATGAATAGTGATTTAGGAGAGGAGGAAAAGAAGGTACCTTACCCTTGTAATCGATGCAACAATGGTCCACATAAAACAAGGGACGAAATTTACACCAACTTGATAGTGAATGGAATCGTGCAAGGTTATGTTCGTTGGATCTATCATGGAGAATTCAAACCCCCACAAAAGAAAAGTAGAAATGATTTGGGAGATAGTGCTCGTGATGATATATATAGAATGATCCATGACAGGTTTAGTCCCGGAGTTTCTAATAATGATGACATAGATGATATGTTAGATGCTGAGCAACAACCTAAGGAGTTTGATCAACCTAGATATAAAAAGGATACAAAAGAGGCAAAAATGTTTGAAAATTTGATGAGAGATGCTCAACAAACTCTATACCCCGGGTGTAATGAATTTTCTAAATTGTCATTCATTTTGAAGTTATTCCAAATCAAATGTATGGATGGCATGACTAATAAAGCTTTTACTAGTATGCTTCATATGTTCAAAAATGCTTTGCCTAAAGGTGCTGATTTGCCATCTAATTATTATGAAGCACGTAAGATGATTACTAATCTTGGTTTCGATTATGAAAAAATAGAAGCATGTGAAAATGATTGTGTGCTATTTTAGAAAGAGAATTCTAACCTTGAAAAGCGTTCCATATGCGATACTAAGCGTGATAAAGCTTCTCCTAAAGTGTTACGCTATTTCCCACTAACTTCGAGGTTGCAAAGGCTATTCATGTCGTCCAAAACAGCAAATGAGATGAGGTGGCACTCTGTTAAACGAGAAGATGACTGAGTACTTAGACACCCAGCAGATAGTGAAGCTTGGAAGCATTTAGATAAAGAATATCCTACTTTTTCTGCGGAGACTCGTAACGTTAGGTTGGGTTTAGCAAGTGATGGATTCAATCCATTTGGCGGGCTTAGAAGTGACTATAGTATATGGCCAGTAGTGGTTGTTGTGTACAATCTCCCTCCATGGATGTGTATGAAACAACCTCACACAATACTATCTTTGTTAATTCCAGGGAAAAGTGGACCCGAAAATAACATTGATGTGTATTTGCAACCATTAATCGAGGAGTTAAAAGATTTGTGGGAAACTGGAGCTCAGACTTATGATGCTTCAAGGAATGAGTACTTTCAAATGTGTGCTTCATTGTTATGGACCATAAATGATTTTCCTGCGCATGCAAAAGACAATCGTCAATTTCTACCTACCGATCATAAATGGAGAGATAATAAATCCTTTAACGGGAAAGTAGAAAAAAGAGGTCCTCCTAGGAAATTATCTTCCAATGAGATTTTAGAACAACTAGAGGACCTTGAAGGCATGAAATTTGGTAAAACAATGAAATTGCCAAAGAGGGATGATAATTAGAAGAAGAAAAGCATTTTTTTTTAATTGTTGTATTGGAGTAACCTCTTACTTCGTCACAATCTTGATGTCATGCATATTGAAAAAAATGTGCTTGACAATATTCTTGGTACATTGCTAGATATTGATGGGAAGTCAAAAGACAATCTAAAGGCTAGACATGATTTAAAGCATTTAAAGGTTATGAAACATCTTGCTCCTACATTAAGAGATGGAAAGTGGCATATTCCTCCGGCACTATACACCTTGTCTAAGGCACAAAAGGAAAAAGTGTGTAAGTTTTTAGAGAATTTAAAGGTTCCCGATGGATATTCTTCTAACATTTCTAAATGCATAAACCTCGATAAGCGTAAAATTTATGGTCTAAAGACCCATGTGCTTATGGAACAACTATTGCCATTGCAATTCGTGGGGTGTCCATACCCAAAGAATACGATGTGATAGTGAAGTTGAGTACATTTTTCAAGGACTTGTGTTCAAAGACATTGAAAGTGAAAGATTTGGAAAATCTTGAACGTGAAATTGTAGTCACCTTTTGTGAAATGGAGAAAATATTTCTTCCATCTTTTTTCACCATCATGGTCCACTTGTTTCTTCACCTAGCTACGGAAGCTAAAATTGGTGGACCAGTACAATATCGTTGGATGTATCCGATAGAAAGGTACTTATGCATTTCAAATTTGATTTAATAATTTTTATTAACTAAGTCAACTTTTTTTTCTTTATTAAAAATTTTATTTTTGTAGGCTCTTACGTAGATTTAAATGCTATGTTCGCAATAAAAGTAGGCCAGAGGGTTCCATCGCGGAAGGTTACATCATTGAGGAGTGCATGTACTTTTGTTCAAAATACTTGAATGAAATCGAGACAAAATTTAATCAACCTGAGAGGAATGATGATGCGGAAAATGATGACTACAAGGGTCTATCAATTTTTGCATCGTCTGGTGTTCCTTTAGGGAAGGCTAAATGTAGGTCTCTTAGTGAAGAAGAGTTAACACAAGTTCGAGAATATGTACTTAAGAATTATGATGAAGCACAAACTTATTTAGAGTATGATATTTTTCTTTTCTATTTATAAAAAACTTCAAGTATACTTTCCCATGATTATTTTATAACAACTATTCTTTTGAATTTCAGTGAATATGAAGAGTCCACATCAAACAAAAATTTAGTTGATTGGTTTCGTGACCGGGTATTTTTTAAAATCAACTGTAGTTATTTTTTAATTACAAGTGTAGTACTAGTCTAATTTTTAATTAGCTAATATTCTATTTATTGTTAGGTCATCGATTTGCCTAATGATTGCAATGACCAAGTGGTGAAAGATTTGAAAACATTGGCTTTAGGTCCTTTGAATTGGTTCAATGCTTCAATGGGATTCTTGCAAATGGATTCAGATTCCACACAAAGAATACAGAAATGAAAAGGGTACACCAAAATAGTGGTGTTACAGTGAAAGACATTGCTAGGAATATGGAAAAAGATTACTACAGGATTCTCACTAACATACTTGAGATACAATATTTAGATGGAAAGCGTGTGGTTTTGTTTCATTGTGATTGGTGGGATGTCAATAGGGTAGGAAGAGGTGTCAAAGTTGACAAACATGGCAATGTGAGTGTCAATAGTCTTTGTTCATTGCGTACCAAAGAACCCTTTGTGCTCATGTCTCAAGCTCAACAAGTCTTCTATGTTAGTGACGGACTTGATCCCGATTGGCTTGTTGTTGTGAAGACCCACCCAAGGCATCACTATAATTTTGTAGAAAAGGAAGGGACTGAAAGTGAAGAAGATGCATTGCAACAACTACAATCTGAAGGTGCTCATATCTCAAGCTCAAGTAATTTGCAAGAGACTTATGATCCATTTGTTGAAATAAGAGATGATATTGGTGAAATGATTGTAGATGCTACCAAGGAAAATCAACCCAAAGATCTAAATGATATGGACTTACAAACATTAGATGACGACGATTTGCTAGAGGATGATGATGAGGATGCCAGTGAGAGTGACCAAGAGAGCGACGATGATGATATTGATATTGCTTAATTTTTTTTTTCTTTTTGTTTTTTTTAGCATGAATTGTATGTGTTGATACATATATTCATGGATTCCTGAAAAACCTTTGTAGTTATAATTACTTATTTTTTCACACTTTGCAATCGTGTTTTTATTGGCTTATTTGAATAGATATATGTCAGGATTTTTTGTTTTATGCACAGTTATTGGTAAATGGCTTGTAGTATTTGACAGTAATTGTACACCATGTGTATAGTAGCTGGCAGCAGCTTTGCATTAGGGATGCAGTGGATGGTAGTAAATTAGATTTAGGCACTCAATGTGCATTAAAATTCTATTGTAAAATTGTCTAACCCTATTTGTTTTTTACTTTGTAAATGCAGATGAATGAGTATGAGAAAAGAGGCTTCTTAAAATAGCAGCCAACAAAAACAGTCTTAAATCGTTGGGCATAAAAAGAATCGCATCTTCTTTGACAAGCTTGGTTGAAGGGACAAAAAAAAAAGAAAAAAAAAGGAAAAAAAAATGCTGGCATGGAAGATGATGGATATGTTCCCACTAATGATGAGCTTGAGGATCAGGAACGTGAAATAGAACCTCAAATCAGGTTTACAAGAAAGGTATAATATGAACTAATAAGTATGATTTATTTAGTTTTTCAACCAACCTCTATAGTTCTGGCAATTTTTTGTTAATTAATTTTTATCAGGCTAACATAAGACATTTAAGAGAAGGAAACAAAAAAGGCAATTTCATTCCACCAAACTCAGTGGCAAAGTTTCTTAAGACGAACAAGAAAGCACAAAACACAATGGCCATGGATATCTTAGAAAAAGGTACTTCATTATTCTTGATTTTGGTTTCTAGCTTATTACTGTCAGTTTGATCTTATTAGGTTCCTTAGTTGCTGTTTTGCTTTCAAAATGTTATATTAGGTAAAAGTGATGTGAACTCTCTTATTGAAATTTGCTGGTAAATAGAACTATAATTTAGCTTTAGTTTGGTATAGGAATGAGTGTGCTGCAAGCAGGTAGGGGAAAGGGGCAGGTGCTTGTGAAGAGAGTGGGTAGGTGCATGTGTAGACAGGGGGGAGTTGTAGGTTCGAGGGTCCCTGAAAATTGAAATCACTCTCACTATTATGGCATAACATAACAGAGCAGAGGCTCAAAATAGTAACAATGAAATGTTAATAGATTAGACATACATGCTTCTGTCCATGAATGCATTCATAAGAAGAAAGTACGAGTAAAAAATTTTAAAATGCAATCTAGCTAGTGAAATCAGTCCTCGAAAACGCATCAAGCATCATATTCATTGATGAAACTGATTAACTTTTTGATCGCTAATGATCGATTAAACGAGTAACTCAAAAGACATGCTTGTCAACCCCACCCTAATTAAAATAACAACTGCAGAAATTAAGCATTCTATTGAACATAAACATTACAATTAAGGTATCAAATGAACTTAGAAAGCAATCATAAATAAAAAAAAATTACTGAAAACCCAACAAAAGCAATTACAAATTTAGTGAATTGGGTTTATGCTATAGACTCAGGGCTCACACAGATTAATCAACAAGCACAGAAAACAGAGGAAGCTCGAAGGCTGTCTGATTAATTTCTGAAGAAAACAATTACAACTACTAGGCTGATGCTACTACAATAAAGATGGAAGCTTGGAGGCTACTCTACTATTATGCTACTCTATAATTAACATCAGAAATCTCATGACTCAGTCTTCCTATTTTTTGTCCTTAAATACTAGGCATCCCTGTCACCCTCATGTAACCTAGCACACAAATTGTACTATTCTGCCAAAACGGCTAATACACAATCAAATTCCTTTACCACACTGCATAGTGGAATAATATTAATCAATTTGTCCTCTTTTGCTGCCTTGGGATCTTTTTTGTTGTTTTCATTGCTGACTAGTTTCTGTCTTCTTGCGCCTCCTTGAATAAACTTGAATAGGTGGAGTAGTGCTGGGCTGATTCATTGCAGTTTAATTAATCTTACTAATTCCCAGGAAGCATAATGCACAGGACCTACAAAAAAAAATGGAAAACGATTAAGTAGAAATCTTGGGAAAAAAAAAGTAGAACTAACTAGAAAATATGGCAAAAGATTATGCAGATATCTTCACTAGAACCTAGAAAAATACAAAAAAATAATGGCAAAATAACAACAAGAACCTAGAAAAATACAGAAAAATACAGCAAAATAATGGCAAAATAAGAGCTGCTGGCAGGAACACCAGCAGGCTGGCTGTGGTCAGTGCTGTCCATCACAAGCTGGTTGCAGACTGCACTGTTCCCAGTAGACGCAGCAGCCCCTGTGGTGTTCGTGGCAGCATTGGCAGCCTCTGTGACCTCTAAAACAGCCTCTAAATCCTCCAAAAAATCCAAATCAACACCCACATTATCCCCCGGAGCTTGCATTATAGTTTCGGATCCTTTCTGTAGTATTGTTTATACTAGACACATAATATCTATACTTAATATTTTTGTAAAAGGTTTTATTTTTCCCTTTTTGTGGATGATAAATGGAAATATGGACACATAATAGAAATTAGCTTAGACACTTTGGAGGGCCTGTAAGGGCTTCTTTGCAGTTTGAGAAAGGCTACATTATATGCATTTTCTCTCTAACGCGGTGTGTGTGACTGTGGGAATGGTATTGAGTCTACTCTACATGCTACATTTGAATGTTTTGGATAATGAGTATCCCCTTGTCGGTTAGGGTGAAATGTACCAAACTTTTTTATTTTCTCTGTCTCAGATGTGTGTCACTGTGCTATGAATGAATGGACTCTAGTCCTTTTGTATGGCTCGCCTTACCTTGAGTTGCGTTCTGCTGTCTGGAACCAGGTTAATACCATGTTCCATTGTTTACCCCCTAATATTCTTGTTCAGGGTGATTTTAATCACCTTGATTCGTTATCTCAGAAGTTAGGTGGATCTAAGCGATTACAGGGTCACCACTCATTGTTGACACTTAGGCACCAGTGGAGCCTCAGTAACATACCATCTAAAGGGGTGGCTTTTTTTTTTTTTTTTTTTTTTTTTTTATTATTACTTTTGCCAAAAGGTGCTTGTTTAGCTCAATGATGTTGCTTGTGTAAGCGTGTGTATTCATGGATTTCTATTAGTAGCTTTTGTTTCACTTAACAGTGTCTCGTATTCGATTTGTTTCCGAAACTTGTATATATGTAACTCAATTTATTTGATAGTAGAATGCAGTCGTTATGTTGTTGCTTCCCTAGTATTTCCCTCTGTTGCTACCCTGCTATTTCATCCCTTCCTGTTTTTGTGATAAAACTGCTGCTGGCCACTTGTTGTCGCACTACTGTGTGCTTGTTGTACTTGATTCGAATCATAAATTAAAAGCTGAGAGATGATGATGTTCATTACGTTAATCGAATTAATATACAAGTGAATTGTTATGGCTAGTGTTGCTTTATTGCTTAATTTTCCTGCAAATTTATACCTGCAAATAGAAGAACCTTACATCTAAGAATTTTATCTTGGACATAAAACCTTAGCAGCACCAATATCTATTTTAAACAAAAATTAGAAACAGTAGTTATTACATACAATAATCTATTTTAAAATGCAATCTAGCTAGTGATTTTATTCTATACATGTAAACAGAAAACGATGAAGAAATTGGAGAAACAAGGGAGAATAATAACACCGCTGAGGGGGGCTATGATGAGGAAGGACGACAGATTGGTCAACCACTTGAACTTGAAGATGCATCTTTAGATACTGAACCATTGAACGAAAAAGAACTCATGACTGTACCAGAGAATGAGGACCTTAACATTTCATCAGGTTTGACTTTATTATCCCTTAAATATATATATATATATATATATATATATATATATATATATATATATATATATATATATATATATATATATATATATATATATATATATATGCCAATATGCTTCAAGTCATGTTAATTCACTACCCAGTGAGCTTATGCTTGATACAGGTGCTGCTAAAAAAAAAGAGGAACGGTATATTGTAGAAAGCTTACCCTGTTACCTCCTGGGGAAAAACTGAATGTGGAGTTTGACGATGATGGTGTGGCTATTGGTGATAATGCTTCATTATTTTCTTTCTTCTTGGGTCAACAAGTTCGAAATAAACAAGTTAAATGTTGGGACGATTATAAATCTGAAACATTAGACCATTTGTGGGCTTGCATCACGGTAATATGTTATCATAATAAACATGTTTATGGGGTTTTTCTTTCTCTTATTAACAATGAAACATTGTCAACTTGATGTATGAGCAATAATTAATTTATCTTTGTCTTTTGCAGGAGAAGTGGTCATTTGATGACCCTGAAAACAGGCGGGAGTGTGTTATGAAACATGCACAACGTTTATTCAGAGGTGCTAGGAGCAAATTGAAATCAAAGTACTTTAATGATAAAAACTTGAAAACAAAAGAAGAACGTCTCAAAAATAAGCCTAGTCATCTGACTAAAGTGGAATGGAAGTTCTTGGTTGACTATTGGAGTGAAGAGGCGGTTATGGTAAAATACACAGATAGTATATCTTTATTCTTATATAATTAACGTATATTATTGATTAAATCCTTTTTATTGTAGGAGAAGAGAAAAAAAGCAAGTGAAAGTAGGGCACAACAGAAGATGCCTCACTATAATGGCACTAAAAGCTTCGGTCGCACTAGACAAGAAATTGTATGTAATAACTACTCTTTCTAATTTTAACTTTTTGATTCTTGCCATATATAGGACTACAATACTCTATGATGTCACATCAAGCCTTAATTACTACCTTTACTACATTCTATCATTTTCCAAAAAGCTCAAAAGGCTACACTAAATAAACTAATGAGACAAGCATCTGTTGCAGTTGTAAGCGGTTAGTGTTGCAGGCTGTTGTGGGTGGAGAGTGCTCCCCTGCTGTTGCTGCATTTTCTATGACCTGCACACAAGCCCTGCTTGTACACTAGCCCCCTCCCTTCCTGCATACCAGCCCCCTCCCCCTCCCTACCTGCACACTTGCCCCGACCCCCTCCTGCCACATGCCACCTGCCTGCACATACCTGCATCCCATCCCTACTTGCACACCAGCCCCCCTTCCCTGGATTTCCTACACACCAACCTAGTCCTTTCATACATAACAACCCCCACTCCCTCCTACCACTTACTTGCCTGCCTGCTTGTACACTAGCCCCCCTCGCCCTAGCATTCCTGCACACCACGTCACCACCCACGCCCCCCTTCCCTGGCATTCCTGCACACCACGTCACCACCCACGCCCCCCTTCCCTAGCATTCCTGCACACCACCCGCGCCCCTTTCCTGCACACACCTAATTATTATTTTTTTTTTATTTTTTTTATTAGCTGAATTTTGGACACATGGAAAATTAAATTCTGTTGGACATAACTAAATGTCATTAGCTTCCAAACCACTAAAAATTTTACGAAGTAATTCTCGTACTTATTCAAAATATGCAAACGTACAATAATTAGGAGTGTAATTTGATTCTAAAAACTCTGTAATGTTTGTAGAAGAAGAAGAATGGCGGGAAGTGTTCTCGAGTTGATGTATTGGTTGCAACTCGTACAAGAAAATCTGAGAAGGCTGTGAATGCAATCAATTTGGCAAATAACACTCATGCAGTAGTAAGTTTATAAGTTTTATGTTTGTTATTTTCCATTTAACATTTACCATCTTATCTTCTAACTTAATATTGTTTATTCATAGGATGAGATAAACAAATTAAAGGAACAAAGAGAGCAAGGTCTTAATGAGAAAATAGATGAGCAAATTATTCAGGATGTGCTTGGCAAAGATACACATGGGTATTTGAAAGCTCATGGACCTGGTAGAAGTATTACGCAACATTTTAAAGTAAATCCCTCTCGAATTGATCTTACTCAAGAGGTGAATGAAGTTAAAAAGAAAGCAGATCAAGCAATTGAAGATGCAAGAAAAGAAGCTGAAAATGCTAGAACAGAAGCAGAACAGGCTAAATTAGAAGCTGAACAAGCCAAAAAAGAGGCGGAAGCTGTTAAGAATGACGTGGACAGAAAAATTGCTGATAATAATGCAGTTTGGGAGAAGAAGTTTAGTCAACTTCTGGATTTTCTTGGAGCAGGAAGTTCATTAGATTCTGATGATTTAGGAAGTCAAGGTTCAAAGGAATGAAGTAAGTAATGCTATCTTCACCTGTTATACATTATTCATTGGTGCATGATTCATCTTAGATATAAGTTTAAGATCATACGCCTATATGGTAGTGGTAATCATATTAGCGGGTAATTTTATGAGTAATGACCATAAGATGCGCCTGATTTATTGTTTAGAAACATATCACTACAGCAACAACAATAATAAAGCAAATTCAGTGCTTGGAGTTACCAATATGCCAATAAGCGCAATGTAAGGACTGAAATCACTCAGCAAGTGATGGTCCTGAGAATTGTAACTAATAAGAAAAAGAGTAAATCATCATAATGGTAAAAAAAATTGAGAAATTTTGGCAACGAAAGCAAGTAGTGATCGATAGCAAACCTAAAACAGAACTGCAAGCCCTGTTAGTGAACAACCTAAGCAAAGACCGGCTGCTGAAACCTACAAGTCATGAGCACATGATCTTAATGATCAAGTAATACAATTTGATATATAGTTCACTATACTAACCATTATAAGAGGCCGCCTCCCACATTTATCCATCAAAATTATACCGAAAGCCACACTTGGGAGCTGCAAACAAAAGATTATTTGTTACTTTCGAATTTACATCAGTAATACTTTGATTAGTAGCTAACATCTATCAAAGTTGAAGAACCTGGAATAAGGCCAGTGCCATTGTTCCTAGTTTTACTGAAAATCCTGCTCAAAACCAACAGAATAAACCTTCAATGCTTAAATTATTCTATCTTGTTGCCCGTGGTGGCAAACCTTAATTAATATATTTGTCGTTGTTGCCAATGCTGCCACACTTTCACCATTTTTATCGTAGACCTTTGTGACAATGTGGGTTTTTGTAAAGTAGGAAGCATGTTTAATATTTTTTCTTGGAACATCTCCTTTGTTTTCGAAGGAAGACTTGATTAGTGTTGGGGGGCGTTTGAAAATTACCAAAATTGTCAGATTTACCCATTTACATTATAAAAGAGGATGGCCTTCCCTTTTCAGATTGGTATGTGTTCAGCATTTTATGCGTTAAATTATCTATGATGGCAGCAATCGATGTTGTCTTCTTTCTTGCAGCTTATTTAATATCCTATATTTGTAACCATCTTAGAGAGTTTGCCTGATAGATTCCATGTTATTTGAAAATATAATGCTCAACTGTTATAGACAACTGATAACAATGAGCGTTTATGTAATCAGGTTTCTACACCAGAAGCCTGTCATACTAATGCACTTCTAAGTATGCCTTAACTGCAATAATGCAATTGAAATTTCTGTTTGTTGGTTGTGGAAGATAAAAGTGACTCCTTGGTTAATACATAGGGGAAAAACCCCTATAAGGCTACGATACATCTGGTTCTTCCCTGCCAATAACGAAGGCACTCATCTAAAGTGAAGCCGAATGCCATGATAGCAGCAGTAGTTAGACATTAAAGAATTTTGCCATGTGCGAGTTGTTATAATTTATGAGCTTAAAGTAAATTGTTCTATATTTTGTGTCAATTTGACTTTTTCATTTTGAAAACATATCCTTTTTTTGGTGCTCTTTTTGAAAAAAATATTAACTTGATCATTTATCTATTTATTTATTGTAGGTAACAAGGAGCGGAGCACAAACATATTGTCACATTGTACATATATATAGAGTATAGATTGTTCTTCAGCAAAACGATTTGAGTGTTTTATTTTTTATTTATTTTAGTAAGAGTGAGCTAGAGATGAGACATTGAGACAATTGATTTCTAGTATGTTTGTATATATGGATATCGAATTCAAGTATGTTTGAATGAAAGGGATTCCAAGACATAATATCACCTTTTTAATGTTATATATCGATTTCAAGAATGACAAATATGACATATTTGAGAAAAACTCCATCTTTAATATTCAGTTATGCGTATACCATAAATGCTGCAACAAATTAAAGCTTATGCCCATTGAAATTATTAGCCACGATAGTCATTAGTGTAAAATGATATTATTTTTCACGATAGTAATGTGGCAATGGATTTATTTGCCACGATATTATTTGTGGCAAATAAATAATTAGCTACAGTATATTGCGGCGATAAAGTTTATTAGCCACGGTAATATTTGTGGCAAAGAAGACTACTGGTCACGGTAATGTTTGTGGCAACTAAGTTTATTAGCCACAGTAGAATTTGTGGCAGAACTTGTTAGCCACATTAATATTCGTGGCAAGGGAATTTGTTTGCCACGTTACATACTCGTGGCACAAAATTCAAAATTTGCCACGACATCCATTTTTCCGTGGCTAATTTCCTAGCCATGGCCTCTTGTGTCACAGGAGTAAATTTAAAAATTCCCGTGGCTACACTACATTGCCACGAGAATTTTAAACTTGTGCCACGATTTTACTCGTGGACAAAGGTGAATTTGTTGTAGTGTATGGATTGGTATCACACTACTAAGAGGGGATGAATTAATGAACATTGAATAAATTGATACACTACAATGTGAAAAGCAAAAATAAAATTAAATTAGTTTTTTCAACATATAAGAAGCAGCTAAATGGCAAGATATCATATAGGGTTCTTTTGCTACATACTAGCTGCATAGCTGCCTGGTTTCCAGCAGTAAGTGCTTTGCAATGCCATATCTTAATGCTATTCCCTCCTAAATTCCCCAACAAAAGAGCAACCTTGACTTCTTTCTTCTGAAGAACATCATCGAACTTGTTAAGAGGCAAGCTTGACACACAAATGAGCAGTGTACACATGTTTAAGCATCAAAAACATAAACCTGGGACAGTCTTTTATTAGAGGCCAAAGAACTCAAGAACCATCCAACCCTTCTGTAGGGAATAATTTCAAGCGTTAAACCCCTAGCTTGAACCCCACTTTGATCATACACTAAAGTACGGTGGCGTCCAAAAGGGAAGAAGATAGAGCAAAAGAGTCGCCAACAAGTTTTAGGAACTTGTATACCGTTCACGAGGTGAAGGTTACACCCCTTAACGATCCAAGAGATCGTCAACTCCATAAGGTCTAGAACCAAATAAGGGTTTGGGGATGATGGTACAAATCCAACCTAAAAGAGATTGAACCTGCCCTAATAACAGGCCTCTACTTTATTCTGATCGTATTCATGTGCGCTTTTTAATTAACATGCAATCATTATGATTAACCCTAAACCTGTTTATTAATGTTGGTTGAATATAATGCAAAAATAAATCTATTATTGGTGATCACTTGAATTATAATCAAATTAACCCTAAATAAGATTATTAATTATCTTATTAAGCGTGATTACAAATACCAATTCCCTTTAAACATGCATAAAAGGTGTGATCAAGCAATAAATAATAAATATCAAGCAACATAATAATCATCAAAATAATAATAATATTATTCATAATCATCATCAAAATAATAATATTCATAATCATCATAAATCATAACAATTATAATCATAATCATGTTAAAGCATAATAATAATAATAGCAAGATCCTAGGCATGATACTAACAAGATTAATAACAAATCCTAGCATGTCACTAAGCAATAAAAATCAAATCTTTAACCCTAACATGATACTAACAATCATAAGTATTAGGAAGAACATAGGAAGCATCACAAGAATCATAATAAGCATATTTGATATTATAACCTTTTCCCTAAACATGATACTAGGAATATCATAATAACAATTTAAACATGATTTCTACATCATAATATCAATTAAAACCATTAAAGCACTTACTTTGATGCCTCGTACATCTTTCTTTCACGTCTAGGGCGAAGGCAACTTCGAATATGGCTAGGTGTTTCTAAGTCTTGCGAATGCGGAATTTTGTATGTAAAAACTAGTTTAGAAAAAGAGAGAGAAGGAAAGAGATGGATGAATGCTGAAAGAGAATGAGAGAGAATTGAAAACTGATTGTAGATGAATATAGATGAAAAGCTGGTTGTTGATGAGAATTGGTGAATGAAAACGGAGTTTTTAATACGTAACTTATAGAGAAAATCAGCCAAAAAGATAAAATTAATAAAACAGAGTCCTGGCGCAACCGAAACAGAGCTGGCGTCAACCCTGGCTAACTGGCGCCAGGCACCAACACTAGCGCCTGGCGCCAGGCGCCAATCCTGGTTCCAGGTGCCAATGCCTGGAGTCAGGCGTCAGGCCTGTTTTTGACTCGTTTTTGAAAATCAGATAAGTTTGCCGTACTGGAGGATAAAATCGTATATTTTCCTCAAAAATGCTATTTGATTGTAATTAAAACTCTGAAAAGTCAACAAAAGTCAATTTATCAATGCTAATTGAATTAGGAATGAAAAGAACCTTCTAGAAGAACCTAGAAGACTAAAACCATTCCTAATTGCATTAGGAATGATAAATCATATTAGGCCCTCTCCTAGATCATTGGGCGGTATATAAGGTTCAAACCGCGCCCAGTTTAGTAAATTGGTCATAACTTCCTCAATATTCATCGAAATTGGGCTTATAATATATCGTTGGAAAGGTCTTGTCAAGCCCCATCCAACTACACTACTATCGGACCCATATCATGGACCAACCAAACTGGATTGGATGTTTTCTTAAAATAAGTTTTCAAAAATAGAGAGAAAAGAAAAGAAACTAAAACTATCCGCAACACTAGACTTTCCACACTTTCGCTTCATTCGATTATGATTCAACGCGAAAGGTACTCATCACTGGGTTTGGTTTTGGGGAGACACAAATGGGTGTCTACAGAAGCCCCCACTTTGACTGAGTTTGGAAAAACGCAAGTTTCAAAAACGACAGTCAAAGTATCGATAGGGACGGAGAATGATTCAGAACGTTCTGCGATCCTAAACCACTCTTGTAACGCCGATACCTGCAAACTAGCGTTAGTTAAACAGATAAAGAGTTAAGAAACGCGTATCTTGCACCGTCGAGCACACGTCTTTGAAAGTAACTGTAGGGAATAACTTCAAGCCTTTAAAATCCCACTAGCTTGAACCCCACTGTGATTATACACTAAAGTACGGTGGCGTCCAAAAGGGAAGAAGATAGAGCAAAAGAGTCTCCAACAAGTTTTTAAGGAACTTGTAAACCGTTCACGAGGTGAAGGTTACACCATTTAACGATCCAAGAGATCGTCAACTCCATAAGGTCATGAACCAAATAAGGGTTCGGGGATGATGGTACAAATCCAACCTAAAAGAGATTGAACCTGCCCTAATAATAGGCCTCTACTTTATTCTGCTCGTATTCATGTGCGCTTTCTGACTAACATGCAATCAATAGGTTAACCCTAAACCTGTTTATCTATGTTGGTTGCATTTAATGCACAAATAAATCTATTATTGACGATCACTTGAATTATAATCACAATTAACCCTAACAAGATTATTAATTATCTTATTAAGCGTGATTACAAGTACCAATTCCCTTTAAACATGCATAAAAGGTGATCAAGCAATAAAATAAATATCAAGCAACATAATAAATAATCAATATCATGAATAATAATTATAATAATGATAATATCATCATAAATAAAATAATCATCATCAAAATAATAATAATAATAATAATATTCATAATAATCATAAATTATAACAATTATAATCATAATCATGCTCATAATCATGTTCATGTTAATATTAAAGCATGATAGAAATAGCAAGATCCTAGGCATGATACTAATAAGATTAATAACAAATGCTAGCATGTCACTAAGCAATAAAAATCAAGTCTTTAGCCCTAACATGATACTAACAATCATAAATATTAGGAAGAATATAGGAAGCATCATAGGAATCATATTTAATATTAAAAATTACCCTAGACATGATACTAGGAATATCATAATAACAATACAAACATGATTTCTACATCATAAAATTAATCAAATCAATTAAAGTACTTACTTTGATGCCTCGTACCTCTTTCTAATAACAAAATACACACGTTAGTAACTTCAAGGAAAGTAATAAACAAACAATTAAATTAAATAATTTAAATAGAGATTTGGGACCAAACCCTCAGAAATTAAAACCTTTCACGTCTAGGGCGAAGGCAACTTCGAATATGGCTAGGTGTTTCTAGATCTTGTGAATGCGGAATTTTGTATTAAAAACCAAAGTTTAGAAAAGAAAGAATGAATGAAGAGAATTAATGAATGGATTCAAAGAATTTGATGAACGATTGAGAGTTGATGAAGATTTAAGAATAGAGAGAATTGGTGAATGATAGATGTAGATGATGAAGATAGTTGATGAAGACTTAAGAAGAGAATTAATGAATGATAATTGATAGATGTAGATGATGATGATAGTTGAATTAATGAATGGTCATTGATGATGAAAACGGAGTATTTGATACGATATTTATAGAGAAAATCAGCCAAAAAAAGATAATTTATCTAAACAGAGTCTGAAGACCACAAAACCACCTTGGCGCCAGCCTTGGCTCATTGGCGCCAAGACCAGTGGCTAGCGCCAGGCGCCAATGACTGGCGTCTGGCGCCAATCCTGGTTCCAGGCGCCAAGGCCTGGGGTTGGACGCCAAATTGGATTTCAACGCGTTTTCGAAAATCTGATAAATTTCCCGTACTTGAAGATAAAATAATATAATTTCAGTCGAAAATGCTATTTGATCTAAATTAAAACTCTGAAGAATCCTAATTAAATTAAGAATGATAAAACCTTCTAGAATGTTCTAGAAGACTAAAACCATTCCTAATTGCATTAGGAATTGATAAATCATATTAGACCCTCCCCTAGATCATTGGGCCGTACTTAAAACTCAAACTGGGCCTAGTTTAGTAAATTGGCCATAACTCCCTCAATATTCATCGGAATTGGGCTTATAATATATCGTTGGAAAGGTCTTTGCAAACCCCATCCAACTACACCACTATTGGACCCATATCATGGACCAACCAAACTGGATTGGCTGTTTTCTTAAA